TTTTTTACAAGCTTCAGTTTTGAGAAACTTCTCTCGGCAGCTGCTACGGTTACTGGCAGGGTAACTGCAATTCTGAGAGCAATCCAGAGGTTTGGAAATATCTCCTGCAGTTGCTTCTGGTGAAGAAATTTCAGAAGTTCCAGGGCTGTGTTTTTTTATGGTAATGGTGGAAGGTTGAGGATCTCTTCTGCCATTTCAATTCCAGAGATATCTGCATGTCCTTCCTTGATGAGTGCCTTCTCAATGTCTTCACAGTGTTTCTTCACTGTACCTCTTGACATGGTTGCAACATCATTAAAATTCAAAAGGATACCAAACGTGTCCCTAACATTTTCCATGGTCTGAAATCTCTCCTCAAGAGAATTAAGTGCTACATCCACAACTGTGTTAAAAAATGTCACTTCCAGGTTTCGCAGTGCGTCAGTCAGAGGCTCATCAGCAGCCTCATAAGAGAACTGCTTCCTGGTGTTACGTAGTCTCTTCTGTTTGAGAACTGCCTCTATGTTAATTTCTTCACATAGATCCTTTGCAGTTGCTTGTGCTGCAGCAAAGCCAGAGGCCCTATACTGTGAGAGTGCTGCTTTGGTGGACGTAATCAAGTTTGAAGCAACATCCAGTTGCATAGAGGATGACTGGAAAAGCTTATTGACCTGGTTGACAAGTGTCAGAATGTCACACCACACAACTGAACAAATCAAAAAGTGATAAGAGCCCAATTCTTCAGCAAAAGCTTGGGCCTCCACTTTAGAAACGGGGTCAGACAAACTCTGCCGTACCTTCTACAAGTGCTTCCCTGATTTGGGCAACCTGGAACCTGACAGCCTGAACACTTTGCAATCGGCTCTCCCACCTTGTGTCACTCCATGATTTAAGAGTGAGATCCACATATTTTTTTCAAAATAGACCATCTCTGAGTGGATCCTGAAAAAAAGCTGAATAGTTTCTGCAGGTGTCCAAAGAATCCAATGGCATCCTTTGAAGCTCTTGCAGCGTCTGCCAGAACCAGGTTCAACGTATGTGCCCCGCATGGGACAAACAGGGCTCTTGGGTTCTTTTCCAGCAGCCTGGCTTGTACACCTTGCTTCTTGCCCTTCATATTCGAACCATTGTCATATGACTGACCTCGACAATCCATGAAGTCAATCTGCAGGTCCTTCAGCCTGTTTAGGATTACCGAAGACAGATTCTCTCCAGTTGTCTCTTCCACAACCAAGAATCCCAGAAAATATTATTTTATTTCTGGCTCTGGCTGTAGTTCCACAATGCGTAGAATGATAGACATCTGTTCCAGGTGGCTAATGTCTGGTGTACAATCAAGGATGATAGAAAAGTACTTTGCAGTGTGGATTTTTGCAACAATTTCTTTGGTCAGTTGACTACTCATCAGATTCAGTAGCTCATTTTTTATGTCTTTCCCCAAGTAGTGTGTGTGTCTACTTCCATTTTTGATTTTAGCCAAGTGCTCCTGCATGACTGGATCAAACTTTGCCAGGAGCTCCACTTCCTTTAGAAAATGACCATTATCAGAAACATTGAGTTTGTCTGTGGATCCCCTAAATCCAAGATTCCTCTCAGCAAGAGACTGTATAATTGTTAACAGTCTTGTGAGAACATTCCGTCACCACTGTCTTTCTTCCTCCAAAAGGGTCATCTGTCTCTGGTCTATGGTTTGACCTGTTGTAGACCGCAATTCTAATTCCCTCCACTTCTGCATGGTGCTAATATGATCAGAACTGTTCTCATGACTGCGCAGGATGGTGTGGATGTTCTTCCAGTCTTTCAATCCTCCTTTAACCCTCTGGGGTCTGAGGTGTTTTGGGGCCCTTGAGATGTTTTGACATGCCCTGACATTTGTGCTTTTTTCAGCTACTTAAATCATACCATTTGCCAACATATAAATTTGCTGTATTGAGCACAAACTCTGCTACAATAATATGTGAGCAAAATGGATGTACATGTTTGCATTTTATATAAAAAAAATATTATGCGTGGTTAGTACGTTTTGGAGAAAAAATGTCACCGCAATAAGGCCATTTAACACATACTGAATAGTTGTCCACAAGACTTTTGAGTTACTATTCTTGTAGGCTAGAATTTTTACTTCAAAATGAAGTGAAAATCATTCTGACCACTCTTTCACAAACAACAATATAATTATTTAAATTTCTTACGTCAGTTTTTGGTCAGCACTGCTGTATGCGTGGGAGTGTGAATGGCCATGAATATTAATGTGATTTACACCTGGGTGGGGAGACTAAAGACTCTCCCCCAATGGCCCATCAAGGTGCTTTGACGCAGCCTGAACTAAGAATGATTCACTGATGAATAAAAAGTTAAAAAGAACAGCATTTATTCAAAATAGAAATCTTTCCTAAGAACGTAAAGACTTAAAAGTCATTACTATCACTTAACACAACCTTTCAAAAAAACAAACATAAAAAGAGCAAACTTGTTTTTTATATATATATAAAAAAAGTGGACTGCCTGTTGCTTGCCTGCTTGTTTGCCTTGGCTCTCTTCGGAACTGGTGGATGGACATGTTCATTGTCACATCTGTTATAAAAAAGAAAAAAAGCATGAGCATGCTGATAACACAATCAAATAAACTGTATTATTTTCATTATCAATCACTAATTGCCATGGATATTTTTTTTTGTGTAATTTCACACAAGAATAGGTAGCCTACATTATGACGATGTAAACACAATTAGGCTAAATTTCATCTGTAAAATATTACATCTGTGCACTTACTCAGTATGATTCTCGATCGCACTGAGAACTATACGACACCTGCGTGTCCCTCTGCTGGGACACCTGCGTGACACCTGCGTGCTGGCGAAGGAGAGCATGATGCAAACACATTCCTAAAAAAAAAAAACTGTTAGCATACATTATCCAAAGTAAACTGATGGACAATTAATGGGTATGGATGCACAATGTATGTATATATCTGTTGATGGGCCATGGGACGGAGAAATATCTGTTGATGGGCCATACAGACCGCACGCATTTAGTGATAGGACTACACGCAATGAACGGATCGTTCGCAAACGACACATCACTACATTTCAAACATTTACACCTGTGTTCAGTTATTTACGCATGATATAGTGTCATAGGCTGACCAAAACTAAACATTTAATTATATAAAAAATATATTGTATTTAGACCTCTTTTACCGGAGCCTGAAATATATTTCTCGTTATATAACCTAAGCAGTTATTCGCAAACAAAATAGGCTACATTACGCATAAGGCACTATTTTAGCATAAGTAGTGTCATAGGCTAACCAAAACTCAACATTTTTATATAAAAAATATATTGTATTTAGACAGTATCACATATTTTACCGGAGGCTGAAATATATTTCACTAAATCAATAGGCTATACCTAAACATGCAGTTATTCGCAAACAAAATACATAACACATAAGGCAGTATTTTAGCATGATAATCAGTGTCATAAGCTAATCAAAACTATATATGTAATATACAAATATGTTTAGAGAGTAATATCACATTTTAAAAGTTTACACGAGCGAATGTTAGGGATATTGTGAGGCAATCTTTTCTGTAAGATGTCAAAAGCTAGGCAAAATATAGTCTGAAAATTAATTTGAGCTCTATACGATCAGAAAAGAAATTATAAAACACTAAACAACTTACTACGAACTTGTAGGCCTATCCTTGGCGTGGGATCAATTCATTCTTCAAAATGCAGCCATTCCTCGTCCGAGTTATAGGCTAATCTTCCTCAGAGGAAAAGTGAATTCTTCCTCGCTGTCCAGAATCATCTGAAGGGCCTCTTTGTCGGAGTACCGTGCCATCCTCAAAACGCAATGAATCCATCAGTAAAGAAACTTCGTGTTTTTATGCCATTGATCGCTGGGCGTTTGCTATGCATAACGTTAGATCACCTATTTACCATGTGAAAAGCGCTAGGGGCGTGGCGGCCTCGGCTCATTAAAAATAATGAAGAGTGAACGAAAAAACTGTACCTCTCCTTGGTTTCAAACGGATTACATAAACTGGAAATATTTATTTATTTTATAAATTACTTCATTTATAAGAAGAGAATACAAGCTTTAAAAAGACACATGTCTCGTATCTCTGTGACAAGTATTGACTTAGTTACAGTTCATTTTTCGGACGCGTTTCAGAATGGACTTCACTGACAGAGAGAACGCAGAACGCGCATCTTGTTTATTTTTCTTTATTTGGCGAAAAGCACAACACTTTGTTTTTTTTTTGTGAGGTTCCACTAAAAAAAATACAAACTTAACAGGATCGAATGATGTATAACACTTATATGTAAGATCAAAATCAACAGAGTAATTTGAGTCTCTTTTGCACTGATAAGGAAACAAGTGAGCTGGTATCGCCGGCGATACCGCCGACCCCAGAGGGTTAATAGCTGATATCATCATCATATGATCATGTTATGTTATGTAAGGACATAAGATCATCAGATCTTAAACAGATTCTTAAATTTGTAATCCCACAATATCTACACTGCCTTTGTGACAAGGTTCAAGTTCAAGTTGGGAAGAAGGACAGGGTCGGTGAATCAATGTAAAAGACTTTTATTCAAAACTCAAAAATGTGTTCAGCACAATTAAATAACTCCAAATAATTCAGAAGATCAGGATTGAGAATGGTCACGCTCCGTCTTTCCAGGTCTGGCCACAGCTTTTTATCCAGTCTCTCCACACCAGTAACTATATTTGTGGTCCAGGGTCACATATATTGTTTTATGATTTTCAAGAGCACTTTTCCAAATTTAATACCGTAACTGTAACATTAGAGTTGTTATAACTGTGTGCTGGACTTGATACTTATTTAAAAAAAATGGTATTTTATAGGAATTGTGATATAACTGAAGTTCGTTTTGTTTCTGTAATTTGTGTTTTTAGCTGTGGCCATTGAAAAGTCCATTTAAAAAATAATATGCAGTCACTTTATTTTCATGTCTTAACGATTTGTTTTTATTTGCATGTATAGGTTCTGAAAATGAGTTATAACAGAGTTGAGAAGCTTGGCAAGAACACATTTAGAGGCCTGGACAATCTTTTACGTCTTCATATGGACCATAATCACATTACGTTCATCCACCCAGAAAGTTTTTATGGATTGAAAATGCTGCAGTTGATCAACCTTGAGGGAAACCTACTCCAACAGCTTCATCCAGATACATTTATATCACTGCAGTTCAGCCAGATTTTTAAATGGTCATCTCTCAAGACCATTTACTTGTCAGACAATGCTTTAACCACATTGCCTGCAACTATATTTGCTGGCTGCTACAATATTGAGAATCTCTTCCTTAGTGGAAACCCCTGGTCATGTGATTGTCGGATGGGTTGGCTTGTCCAGTGGATAGAGAAACACCCAGGTGAGATTGGTCTATATTGAACTTTTTTAAAGTGCCCCAATTATGTTGTTTTTTCGAATATTCCCTTTCCTTTCATGCAGTGTGTAATATAGCTGTATGTGAATATAAACGTTCTGCAAAGTTGTAAAGTCGCAAGTGCACGAAAAGTAAAGTTATTGTCTCCCAAAAGAAAGAATCGACTCTGAACCGCCTAAATGAGTCGTTTGTATTTCGAATCATGCTGCGTGACGGTTCTACGTCACTAGAAAATACATCTGCATAATGCCCACCTATGTTGTACATTGTCCGCCCGCAAACAACCTGACCAGCCCTCAAACGTCATTTTACTGATGACTGCTTCACAAATCTCTGAGTTCAACGCGGGATTCGCAAAACACTTGCCCTTGAAAGATGGGTCAGTACCCAATTTATTTGGACCAGCTTGCTCCTCAGAATCACAACCTGTAAGAATGAATAATTATTGATGTATATATATTTTCTACCGGGTGTTCAAAATACATAGATTTGTGTTTTATATTGTGTACGTTTCCGGCTAACCGGCTAACTCACGTTATTACTGTCTAACTGAAATAACTTTAATCAGTTGTGGGCCACTATTACCTAAAACTGTGTCTATTAATGCAGATTATCAGTTGTTCTTACTACTTTGAGTAAAGATAAAGGATGGAGCAAGATTTGTTTTACAAACGTTTGTTTCATTAGTCATTCACATTAGTGCTGGGCTAACGTATGCACCGTTATCAATACAGTTCCCGCATGTGCACCGCAATAAATTAGAAATATAAACATTGGTTTGTTAATGGACATTCTCTTGTTAATGCTGATGGTGAGGAATTACAGTTGAAACATCTCATAATGTACCTCAAAATGAATACCTCATCACTGAGGAATGTCCTGCTTGAGTCGTCCTTGCGATGGAGGATCGGGTTGAATAACTAGTTCTTCCAATGTTTCATCGTCGGACTCGTGCTCAAATTGATATCAACGTCATCGTTAGTGTCTTTACAGTGTGTACAATCGCTGAGCTTTTGGACGCCTCCAGAAGGAGCTGAAGTACAGTTATGGTAATGGGCATTTAGCTTCCAAAATATGAGCTGTACGCGGTTGACCGATCACAACAGACTGGGCCATTTGACCAATCAGCAGCTCATTCATCCGTCGAGTCGTTTGAGAATCATTGAAAAAAATGTGGTGATGTGCAATGTATATTATGATAAAATAAAAAAACAAGTTTTTGACCTTTGATGCATGTAACCCTGTTGTAGGAGACCACCAAAACAAAATTAGGAGCCTTTAAAACTGCATAATAGGGGTACTTTAAAAAGCAAGAAAAACACAAGTGTAAAAAATCAGGAACTGGACTTTTTTCAATAAATAAAATTGCATTTATTTATTTATATATATACATATGCATATACATATAATGAGAATTCATTTTGGTTTTGCAGGTGTTCTAAAATGCAAAAGAGACAGGAAGTTTATAAAAGAACAGTGTCCCATCTGTGAATTCCCAATTTCCTCCAGAGGAAGCAGCATTGCGCATTTGCAAAGTGAAAGCTACACATGCACCAGACCATGGATTCATCCTCATTTAAAACAGAGGAATTTTACCTTGGGTGATGGTGACTATACCTTAGTCTCTCCTAAGGATTTTGTTGCACCCATTGGGACTTTGGAAATGAACATCACAGATCAATTCCACAATGATGCTAGGATAGCATGTGTTGTGCAGAGACCTACAGGAATGGAAAACTTTACTGCAACCTTTCGACAGAATGGCAAAGATTTAACTGCCCTGAGTGCAATTGTTTCTACATCGCTGATCTGCAACATTGATTATGATAATATACGCAAGATTTGGAACATTTTGGCTACCTATAGCGATTCCCCGATGAGACTTGAGCGAGGATTATTACTTTCTTTTAAACCAGATACAGTTTACACATACAAACAACTACTACCCACTGCAGATGATATTTTTACAGAAATTGAAGCAAAAATCAAAGCCAATCCTGAATGGTTAATGCAAGGTACAGTCCTGCTACAGCTGGACCGTGTTAAAACAACATTCCCGACCCTTACTATGAAGTATTTATCCAATGTTCAAATAGATGTTGACAGCAGTAAGGATAGTAGAGTCCAGTATAGCTGGGCAATGATAAGAAGGGACAACCAGACCAGAACTGAACAAATAGTCCTTGCTGGTAGTGTGACTGAATTGAATTGCCAGACTGTTGGGGATCCTAAACCCATTGTTGAATGGATTCTACCAGATGGAAGTAAATTACGTGCACCATACAACAGTGAGGATCAAAGGATCGTAGTAACTTATGAAGGAAGGCTTACTTTAAAATCGGTTGAAATCTCAGATACAGGTGTCTATCAGTGCATTACAACTAACTACCAGGAAGCAGATGTTCTTGCCTTCAGGGTAACTGTGCTTCCCCTGGATCCTGAAGAAGAAGAGATTAATGGTATCAGAGTCTCACATACCCTTGGTCAGAACCTACTTCTTGATTGTACATCAGCCAGTAATCCACAGGCTTCCATTCAGTGGATACTTCCCGACCACACAGTTTTAGACAAATCCTATGGAAACAGAGAGCTCTACAAAAATGGGACTTTGGTAATACATGGACTGACATCCAGAGACACAGGGTTTTACAGATGTTTAGCTGGAAATTTTCTAGGAGCAGATATGATAGTTTCTCAAGTAACTATTCTTGATGATTTGTCAAATGGCACGATGCCAACTTATGTAAAGGAATCTGATGATCATGTTGTACAAATTATTGATGATAGCCAGAAACTTGGAAGTAGGTATCTCTCACAAAGGGTTAGTGAGGAGTCAAGGAGCATTACCTCAGGGAGACCATACAATTGGCTAGAGTCCAGATTCCATAAGGTTCCCACTGTTAGAATAGGGAATAGAGGGAACTCTAGAAGAGTCTTTAATAAAAAGTACAAGAAAGAAGGTGCCACTTTCATCGATAATTCTCAAATTAAAGGAGGAACTAAAAAGACGGTCAGTTTAGATGTGTCTAAAACACTTAAAGAATCCTCTGATGACAATTACACAACCTCAGGGGATGGTATATCTGAAGATGAATTTATTGTAATGACAACTACTCAAACACTTGAGCATAAACCAGTTAGCACCATTACAACCACAGATATTAAAATCTCAGCGACTTACAAAACTGTCAACAGTGCTTTCATTGAAGTAATATCTAATAAAACTAGAAACATCTTAAGAGCAAAAGAAAAAACTAATTTGGTTGCAGCAACATCAGACACTCTGACTCAGACACCTGCCTCCCCGATTACAGCCAGTTACACTTTGAGTAATTATGGGACTCAAAAAGATGAGACAACCCTGAATACAACCAAGTCAGATTATATGTTAAGTCATATTGATGGTAAAACCCTAATATATGAGAGAGCAACAAATAGACCCTTAGGGAAACTCATTACTCTCAAACCTTTTCTGACAGAAGTTACAGAGCTTCTGTTCTCTGGGGACTCAGAAGATGTTACTTCTAGAGCTACACCACTTTACAACTTCCAGGGCCCAAATGTCACCTATTTTGAACCAAAGAGTCAGGCCATATTAACAGCAGTCACCACAACCGAGGAAGACAGAGAAAAGATCACATTTCAGACCACTCAAAGAATCAAGTCAGAGCTCCTTCCTGGGTCCACCATCATTTCCAAACACCAGATCCAAATTGTTCCATCCAAAAGGATGCAATCAGGAAAGAGACGTAAATTTAATGGCAGACGTAGGATCGTTCGGCCCAGCAAAATTACAGACATACAATCTTTACTTGATAAATTTAAACATCTTTCTATAAACAAGGAATACAATCTCACATTTTCACACACTGTGGACAAAATTACAAATTGTGGCTATGGGAAAAGGGTTACATCTGGAGTGTCTACAGATAAATGCACAACATCAGTGGATCAAAGCCTGGTCAACCCTACATCTAGGCATCACATGCCAACGTCCTCTTTTAGAATGACAGAAAAGCCTGCCATGGCAACTGATTTGTCAGTCTCTGGAAAGACTTACACTGTCACTGATTCACAAATGGACACCATTTCTGTAGAGTCCAGTGATTATAAAAGTTATTTCAATACAATAGAGAAAGAACTAACTTTCACAACTACAACAACATCCCCATACATGATGTCTTCTAAAATTACACATGGGAAGATTCCATGGCATAGACCATTTGGACAAAAGGGGGAACTGAAAGAAACCCTCAGAAAGCATCAAAACCCATTCACGTTGTCCACTAATGAGGAGCAGATGACCTCAGCATCCAAAGTAGAAACTTACAAGGAAATAACTGCAGTACCTACTACAGAACTGCATCCTACACATATTATAGCCTCTCCTCCAGCGACAAGACACAATATCAATACTCCAGAGACATCATTTGATGACTCATCAGGTTCTTCCTCTTTTACAGAAACACTTTTCTCTGACAATATTGTAACACCATCTACAACACCTGAGTTTTTCAGTTTTCCAGCCTTCCATGAGCTGTCCACAACCACAGAGTCAATACGGGTTTCTCACACTCTAGCAGTCCCACCAACAATGAGGACTGCATTAAAGCAAAACACTGGTCAGAATAACTTATCAGGTTCTCAAACTGGATTGTGGGGAAACCAAAAGCCTGGTTATCACAGACGAGGCTCCAGAGGGAGAAAGCCCATAAAAAAAGCAACCACAAAACCTCCAATTATCAAAGTGACTAAAACCGCTGACAAATTGACCACAACCAGAGTGAACACAAATATGAGGAATGCCCCAGAAAGAGGTTGGAGATATACCACACAGAGCACCACGATCAGAGTTCAGCCAACCACACATGAACAGAAATACAAGGATTGTTTAGAATGTCCTAAGCCAAATACCTCTGGTATTCCTCTGAGCAGAACAGTTACTTCAGACACAATGACTGATTCAACTGCCAACATGTTCACTCCATTTCCATACAGCAGTAGTACTGAAAATGCACATGATAACACAAGGCATGATACCTCCTCTATTAGGGATATTACCTCCAAGCCAAGGATTAATGGTGGAAAAGCTGCCAGTTTTACTGTTCTGTCAAACTCTGATGCGTTCCTCCCCTGCAAGGCCACTGGCAACCCTGAGCCCATCATCAGCTGGAACCGATTCTCTTCTACCACAGGTACAAAATTAAAACCACAAAGCCTACCCTGACAGGATATTTTTTAAAGGATTCTATTGTTATACCATGTACATTTTCATATTTATTATTTTGACATTTTGGTATGTCTTAAGTCACAACATAAAATAAAAAAAGGCTTTTTATGTTTGTCGATCATTTTTTGTCTCCTTTATATCATCAGGTAATATGTTGACCATCAAGGGGAAAATGGGTAAATTTGAAGTTTTGAAGAATGGAACATTGCTCATCCAAAGAACAAACATTAAAGACCATGGACAGTACATATGTTTTGCCCAGAACGAGTATGGTTCTGACAAGCTTGTAGTTACATTGTCAGTTGTGGCCTATCCCACCCGGATATTGGAGAAAAAGATGAGAGAAATCAAGGTTCTTGCTGGGAAAACTGTACACATGGATTGCAGGACAGAAGGCAGACCAGTGCCCACTGTGTCATGGATTCTACCTAACCACACTGAAGTTAAAGGTCTGAACACTGAGCATGACAGAATAACAGTAACCACAATGGGGACACTAACCATTCAAAAGGTGTCGGTTTTAGATCGTGGACATTATAAGTGTATTGCAAGTAATCCAGCTGGTACTGCCACTGCCACTGTCCATCTTCATGTGGTAGCAGCACCGCCAGTAATACTGGAAGAGAAGCGACAGCTGGTGAAAGCTGATACTGGGCAGAATCTCTTTTTTCCATGTACCACTTATGGTGACCCGCAACCCACAACACACTGGATTTTACATGATGGCAGGATAATATGGCCTCTAACTTCCTCACACAGCAAAGTTTCAGTTTTTGTAAATGGTACACTTTACCTCAGGAACGTAGAAATAACTGAAAGTGGAAAATATGAGTGTATTGCAACAAGCTCTAATGGATCAGAACGGCGTGTTGTCACACTTTCTGTGAAGACAACAGAAACTACCCCTCAGATCATTGAGACATCACAAAGGCGAAATGATGTCATATATGGTGATCTTCTTCATCTGAACTGCTCTGCAGTTGGGAATCCAAAACCTCAAATTATTTGGAGGCTTCCTTCCAAGGCTCTTGTGGATCAATCGCACAGGTAGACTATAACAGACTTTATCATTAAAAACAATTGTTTGATTGCAAAAACAAAGCTGAAGTTTGTAATGTTTTAAATGCAAAATGCTCTTTCCTATCTCTGAATGGATAAGTTTACATGCAACCAAATAATCCGTTAGTAATCGGATTGACGGCTCAATCGGACTGAAAAGCCTTCATGTGGACACCTTAATCAATTCGAGCTTGATCCAAATGAAATTTCGATTGGATTGGAAGGGGTGGTTTATTCCTTTTCTAATCCGATCGAGGGGACATGTAAACACTTTCCGAAACTGGAAAGGACTGCGCATGTTCAATGATGTAGAAATGGCTTAATGACATATGACACACGGAACACGCTGCAATTGTTAAATAAAATGTCATAAATGACTGTCGTGTTATTCTAAAATTATCCTACCACTCATCATCTGTGAAGTGGAGCAGAACTATGTCCTATCAGTCCTCACTTCATACTGTCACCGTTTCAGTTTTATTTTATTTGTCACGTTTCTTCTTTGTTCAGATTCCTGCCACTCATTTGTCTCCTTGGCTACCGTTATCATTTGTTCATATGTGTATGTGATTAATTATCCTCATTTGTGTTCCTTAAGTTGTTCCTTCACCTGCACTACTTGTCCAGTATTGTTTGTGTGTAGACACAGTTACGTTGCCTTCTCGCATTTGTTCTCTGAGTTTTTTGTTTTTAATTAAAGAACCTTTTGTTTGTAGAAACCTGTTTGAACCCTTTTCAACATCTTCATTTGAACCTGATGGAAAGAAGCGTAAATGGATGGAGAAGCATAGTTTACTGTAAAGCTACGTCTTAGTTTTGCTTATCTTGGCGAAAGCCGAGTACAAATCAGCATGAAGTTTAACATCTACTCTCGTGTAATGGAAATCATGATCATAACACATACTCTCATCCACAGACACTTTATTTTGGGTGCGGGAAGGGGTGTTTTTATTGATAAATATTAAGTCTGCTTTTTTTTTAAAAAAGGAAAAGAGGCAATGTAGGAGAATAGTATGCGCAAACAGCGGGAAACTCTGTATATTTGTGCAGTGTGCGCATGTCAAAAAAATGAATCAATCAGAATTAATTAATTCCGATTGAAACGTGCATGTAAACATAGCCACTGAAAGAGATTCCTCAAAACCTTTGAGTTTTCTTCTTATTTGTGAGTACTGGACAATGATTTTTTTTATGCAATGACAATTATTCATTTTATTTTATGTTTTGCATAACTGATTTAACCCTGGAATTAACGATTAGATTGCATCTTAATTAGGATAAAATAATGAAATATGAGCATACAAATGGATATCCTATATCAACAATTCTGTAAATGTTCTCAAACAAAATTCATGATGTAAACATGCATTTAAAAATATCACATTCTCATTTCAGAATGGGCAGTCGTATCAAAGTCCTGGAAAATGGTACCCTCATCATTGAATCGGTCAATGAAAAAGATGCTGGGGACTTCCTTTGTGTTGCACGCAACAAAGTTGGGGATGATGCACAGCTAATAAGTGTGTCAGTTTCTATGAAGCCAGCTCGGATTGATCCAAACATCTTTAGTAGGAAGCAAGTGCCTTATGGCAATGACCTAAAAGTGGACTGTATGGCTGCTGGTGTCCCCATGCCAGAGATATCTTGGGGACTTCCTGATGGTACCTTGGTGAATGGTGCCCTGCAAGCAGATGGAACAGAAGGGGATCAGTTCAAACGGTACATATTGTTTAATAATGGAACACTGTACCTGAATAAAGTGGGTACTGATGAGGAAGGTGACTATACCTGTTATGCTGAAAACAAACTGGGTAAGGACAAAATGCATGTTCACATAAGTGTGGTAACTGCAGTGCCTCGCATTGAACGCCCTAAGCTCTCCTATGCCAAAGTGAAGCCTGGTGGAAACGTTCTATTTGACTGTAAGGCTATAGGTGAGCCCAAGCCAAAGGTCCTTTGGATGCTCCCTTCCAAAGACATGATTGCTGCATCTAATGAGCGTTATTTAGTGCATGCTAATGGTTCCCTTGATATACGAAATGTTAAATTAGTTGATTCTGGAGAGTATATCTGCATGGCTCGGAATGCTGCAGGTGAGGACAATAAAGTATACAAGCTGGATATTGATGGTAACCCACCCATCATCAATGGCTTCAAACAAAATAAAACTGTGATGAAAGATACAGCGATCAAACATACTAGAAAACTAATAGACTGCAAGGCTGAAGGGAATCCAGCACCAAAGATCACATGGATCATGCCTGACAATATATTTCTTACTGCTCCATATTATGGTAGCAGGATTAATGTCCATCACAATGGTACACTAGAGATCCGTAATGTTCGGCCGTCAGATACAGCAGAATTTATTTGTATGGCTCAGAATAATGGAGGTGAAGCAGTCATGGTGGTTCAACTGGAAGTGACCGACAAGCTCAGGAGGCCCATTTTTAAGAACCCATTTAATGAGAGAGTGGTGACTCGGGTCGGGAGAACTGCAATGCTAAACTGTTCTGCTGATGGGCAACCCACACCTGAGATCATATGGACACTACCCAATAGAACTCGGTTCAGTGGAGAACCTGGGTTTGAGGGCTCACGGTATCATCTGGGTAAGGATGGCATGTTTGTTATTTATAACTCCAGCATAGAGGACACTGGTAAATACCGCTGTGCTGCAAAAAACAAAATGGGCTATATTGAGAAGCTGGTTGTTTTTGAGGTGATTCAACAGCCTTATATTCTAACACGGCCAAAGGGGGTTATCCAAGGTATTTCTGGAGAGACCCTCTTCCTACATTGCCTGACAGATGAAATCCAGCCTAGTGTTTCATGGACCACACCAGGAGGTTTTGTTCTTGCACGTCCACAGGTCAGTGGACGCTACCATTTAATGGACAATGGGACATTTGTTATACATGATACAACCATGAATGATCGTGGGAATTATGTGTGCCGAGCAAAGAATGATGCTGGTGAGGCAGTTCTTGCTGTGCCTGTCATAATTATTGCATATCCACCCCGGATCACTAATGGGCCACCACCAACTATGAGAGGAGTGGCTGGAGTTCCTGTTCATCTTAAATGCATTGCTAATGGAATACCTATACCAGAGATAACCTGGGAGCTGCCAGATGGGTCTGTTCTTTCTACGACTGGAAAGGAACGACCTGTAGGCAGTGAACTTCTCCATGCACAAGGGACACTTATCATTCGAAATCCCACAAGAGCACATTCTGGTAATTACAAGTGTATAGCCTTTAATTACCTGGGCAGACATACTAGAACAACATACATAACAATAATATAAGTAGGGTCATGACTTCATGACTTTACCACTATGACTATTCAAAAGGAATAGCCTGCCAGGTCGTGTGAAGGTAGACAAAACATGGGTAATTATGCTGTATGGGAGGAAAACAAAGAACTGTGAGGATTCCATTCTATAATATATATTACTTTCATATTGAATTATTAAAATGTAATTTTATATGTCATGAACATGTAGAGTATATCAGAGTGAATGTAACTAAACTAAAATAAAAGTATAAAAGTAAATGATTACGCTTTTTATTGAAAGTTTGCAGTATTGTAACTCTGATGCCATTTGGTACAATTTTATTGGGACGTGTATTCATATGCCAATAAGTGTTACAATATAACAATGTTTTTTTTCTGTGTGGTTTTAGTGTTATTGTTGACAAGATTTTTAAGCATGCCTTACTGTGGTTGTGGAACATATTTGTGAAAATTACAAGCTTCTTTTCACAGCTTTGAGGTTTATTTACAATGGGAGCTCAACATGCAATGCTCCTATTACCCTTCTGTGAAGAGTCCTGGGGTCAAACAGCCAAGCTCGTCACAGAAAAATGTGTATGATGGCCCTCTTGGGTTAGCTTGAACTGCTTTCCTTTTGACTAATATTTTTTCTTCATTTCTGTAGATTAATTTGTTCTGCCAAGTAGTGTTGAGTTGAAACTTAATGAATGAGTTTTCCTCTCTTGCTTTTAAGTTTAGAAACATTTATAAAGTTTGTGTTCTCACAAAAAGGTTCAGTTATGTAAAACAGATGGATGCGTGCACACACACACACACACACACACACACACACGATGAGAATGATTCCAAGAGCAGGAATGAAGCCCAAACTCTGGTGTAAACTAAAGGCTCTCCAGGTTTTCCTCTCCCCAAGTAACATTCCATGGCTTCCCACTTTCCAACCTTTGCTTAGATCAACACATTTCACCACCACCCCTGGAATTTCACGATAGGATTTTAAAATCCACACCTCTGTTCTTCAGACACAAGGGATGGATTCATCTTTAACTCAGTACCTAATTCTTCCTACTTCATGAAGTCTAAGGTCTTATATACATTTTAGAGTGGACTTAATAAAGATACACAAGGGAATAAGCTTTAAATGATAAATTTTGTTCATGTAATTAAGTTAAATCTTACACGAGTCAGGTCACTTTTTTTTTTACTAACATAATCTCCCTGTGTGAGAAGGGATCCGTTTTTAAAGAATTTTCAGGCGTATAGATAAATTTCCATGGCAAGCCAGCAACACAATTACTGTTCCTTCATTAATGAATAACTACACAAATTAGTAACACACTGTTAACATTCTAGTAACTGCTAGTAACTAACATAAACTCTGATTAATGAATTAGTAAGTAATAGTGCTCAGTTGAATGAGATATTATCAGCAACTAATTTTTTTTTTCATATCTCCAAGAGTACTAAGAACCACTGAAAAAAATGATACTTTGGACCAACCTAAAAAAAATTACTGTAATTTGTTACAGCTAAATTTATTAGTTTTTCCTCAAGCTATATTTTTTGATTTGGTTGAAAGTTTTCAATTTAATTTAATATCAATCAAAATATTTCTTCTGCCTAAGAAAAAAAATTACATTCATACAAAGTTAAAATATTGTTTATTATAGAGGCCATGAATTATTTTTCTTACTTTGGTACAACTTACATTTTTATTTTGGAAAAACTTGCTTTTCACTATGACTACAAAGTTTAATTTTTACTTTGGTCTAAACTAAATAAATTGCTGTAATTTTGTTACAAGCTAATTTTTTTAAATTTACTCATTACATTTCTGATTCAGTACAAACTATATTTTTTAAAAATACCTTAATCATTATATTTTCTTTAGCCACAAGACTTTCTTTTTTGCTTTGTTACAACTTAACTTTTACCATGAACAAAAGCTAAATTAGCTTTAATATAAAAGAAAAATGTTCACTTAAAATGTCAGTAAATGCTTAATTTAGTTGACTTAATATAAATAGAGACAGAAATATTCTCTTTAAAAGACCTTAATGTTTATTGTGATGTCATTGTCTTTTTAAAATATGCATCACCTTCACTGTTGAAAAAAAAAAAACACCCAGGAAAAAAAAAACCTCAAATGAATTTTGCTGCCAGTAAGGCAAGCCGGTATGCGTTTTACACATCAACACTTAAGGACTGAGGACTTTTCTTTTTTTAAACCTTATGTAAACTGTCTGTAACTGTAACCGCATTAATGTAAAACTGTTTTGTTCACCTCTCCTTTAAAACTTGAGATATGTAATGTAATAACATTAAGCAGTATAAAAATAGACCTTCTAACAGTCTTAAAACTTGGCTATCCTTTGACAAGATTACCAGGATGTACGAATTATTTTGAACCATTACAAATGCAAAATCAACCTTTCTGTAACCTTAACCACAGTAATGTGGTATGTACAACTTTTCTACAACTCTCTTTTAAGACCAAAAAATATAGTTGTTAACAGTTAAACTTGGCTATACTTTGACACAATAACCTATGTATAAATCCCTTTGTATACATGTATATCAATACCACTACAAATGCGAAATCAAGAGAACAAAAAACTAAAGAACACAGTTCAATTGCTTGGGGTGCAATCCATGAGCAAAGTTTGATATTGAGTGCATAAATCAGTTTCAGAAAAAAACATCACCACTATTGCTGCCACTGTAAATTTAGCTTTATTCACATTTTCTGTGTTGATATCAGTGCCACAATATTTATAAAAACAGCTCTGTTGACAGAAAATCTGAAAGACCAGTTTTGAATTTGAAGTCTTATTTACATTTAACAATGGTCCCTTCCATTATCCTGGAATTTAATTGAATACAAGCTATAACACAGAATAAAACGTACCCTGTATCCAAATGTCTCTTTGATTTATCCAATATTTAGAGCTTGACACTCAGACTGAACACTCTGTGTGTCATTTTCTTGGGTTCTATCTCCATGAAAATTTTCTGCAGTGCATCAAAGGTGTGTTCGTGCTCACTTGGATAGCTCACATTTAAAACGTAGATGAGGCCAAACAACATGGCACATGCATGTGGGACTGATGGCAAGTCATTAAGGACCTGCACACCTTCAATGACAATCCCAATGTGATGTGGTGGCTGGAGAGGATCTTCATCTTCCTTGATGACAAACACAGCCATTGTGCATCTCTCAAGCTCGGTTTCAGCTTCATCCTTCTGAACAACTAAATAAAGGACAAAGACAAGACATTTATTACAAAGTTATTTTGATTAAATCAGTGTGTGGTGTGTCTATATAAAAAAATATGTACACAAAAAAATTCTGCCAATCAAATCTCAAAAAGACAAATTGTAAATCTAATAATAAGAAAATGTAAAAGAAAAGAAAAAGTTCAGCAGATACTTAAAGGTGCAATGTGTAAAATTTTTGAGTATCTATTTACAGAAATACAATATGACATCCATAACTGTTTTCAGTGGTGTATAAAGAACTTACTTAATAAACGGTAATGTTTTTATTACCTTAGAATGAGACATGTATATCTACATAACCACGGGACCCCCTTCTATGAAGGTCGACATATTGTGACGTCATGTTTCTACCGTAGCCGAACGCGAACACACAGCGCTACAGCGCGCGTTTCGTCACTACCTTGAAAGAGAAGCCGCAGAAACCTAGAAGCTAGCCATAGACACCGTGAGTAGTGACTTTTCCCTTGTCAGTGGTGTAAAAAATGTAGTTGGACTGTTTCATGTAACTTAGTTCTTCTCCCTCGCTGTGTTATGGCTTTGCTATGTGGGGATAAAAGTGCTGGTTACGTTCGTGAGACAGCTGATTAGTACTCTTGTCATTGACCGTAAAACAGTAACGTTACAGGAATCACCAACCCGTCGATCGCGGCCGACAAGTCGATCTTGGAAGCATTTTAAGTCGATCGCGAAGAGTTTTCAAAATCAGAGAAAAAAAAGCCTATTGTGTGTAGTAAGTGGTGTCTAGGGGATGCGGAGGCGCGCGCGCTGTTACAATCACGTCATTTTTGCCGCGCGCACCTTTGGGCTCATGCGGACGCGTCGAGTTTAAACAAGGCTTTACGCTTTAACCAGCTCAGCCACAGTAACAGCTCATATTAGCCAGCTAAACTTTTACTACCCTGTTAGAAAAAATATGTATTTGGATAGTTTCATGTGGTTCTTCTCCCTCGCTGTATTATGGGTTTGCTATGTGGGGAGAAATGTGCTGGTTACGTTTGTGAGACAATCAGCTGATTACTATTATTATATTATGTATTAAGACCCTTGATCCTCACCTGACTATGGCTTTGTAAACTTTATCCATGATGTGGTTTATAATGGACTGTGGTACAGAAACGGTGACAATGTTACACACTCTTGGCTTACTCTGGCTATTCTCTGCTGTCTCAGACGACGATATGTTTGTCCCGTTTTAGCCACCGTAGCTTCTTCGAAAGGGAGGGGTGAGCAGTGGGCTGAGCCCTTAGTGCAACTCGCAACCGAACCGCTAGATTTCGCAAAAAAATACACACTGCACCTTTAATGTCAGCTCATCCAAATATTTTTCTCATAGCAACTTGAATATCACAAGTAAAGCATTGGTACAAGTTGTCACGGTTGGTAAATCCTATGTCTGCTCCTTATCTCGTGGTTCTGTTATTGTATGTGTTGTGTGCTGATTAGAGGGGCGTGGCCGCTCATCAGCGCTCGTCAGCAATCACCCATCATCAGCTGCAGTCTATCATTCATGTGTATATATTCTCATCAACTTCTCATCTCCTTTGTCAGATCGTTGTTTGTGGTTCCCGGTGTGTGTGTTCCCAGTCTCGTTCAGTCGTGTGCTTCTCTTGTTCCGGTTCTTGTTCGTTGGATGTTGGATTACTGTTCGTCGTTGGATTTTCACCACCACTACCACTATACGCTGCACTGTCTTCTGACCATTGGAGTCCCTGCGCTACTAACCTGTTTGCCTGGACTTTGGACTGCCTATCTATTCCATCATTTCAATAAAAGAGTTAACTGCAATTGCTTCCGTTTGATCACTCATGACAGAACGATCTGACCAAAGCATGGAAGCAGCAGGAAACTCCTCGAGCTCACTGGACGATTTTGTGAGTAGCAGTATTCAACGA